ATGTTTGAGAAACTGCTGTAAAAATATAAATGCAGCAGAGGGCCCCGACTATCCTACTATTTAAAGGAAATATACTAAACCATGGAGACAGATGTTCTTTCTGTTCTTACTTTTAAATTCAGCCTCAGCTTTCTCAAACACAATCTGCTTGAATCAACTAGCAAGGTTCTCACACATAACCCTACCCCTCAGCATACTAAACCTACGTATGTAAATGATGTGGCATTTCATGATACTTATTAGCCTACTAGGAGATATGATGTCACACTTCCTCCCTTTTCGTATAATGACACAATTACCTTCCTTGGACACCACCTTACACTGGATTCCTAATCATCAGAGGTGCACACATTTGGAAGGTTCTTTAACGTACATGGACGTGGTGGCGCTGCGGGTTAAACCACATAAGCCTGTGTGCTGCAATGTCAGAAGACCAGCAGTCGTAAGATTGAATCCTCGTGACGGAGTGAGCTCCTGTTGCTAGTCCCAGCTCCTGCCAACCTAGAAGTTTGAAAGCATAGAAACACGAGTAGATAAATAGGTACCACCACGGTGGGAAGGTAACAGCGTCCCGTGTCTAGTCACGCTGGCCATTTGACCACGGAAACTGTCTCCGGACAAACGCTGGTTGTACACCTTGGAGACAAGAATGAGTACCGAGCCATAGAGTCGGACACGACTGGACTAAATGTCAAGGGGAACCATTACCTTAACTTACAATGGCTTCACAAATCTCCAAACAGCTCAAAACACCTCCAGATTAAACCAAACAATGTCATGCTCATGTTTTAAATCTGCGATGTACTTGTTAACATTAAAATGAGTATCAAATTTACAGATTACAGGAAGGAGATTTTAACACTATATTTAAAATACATTGAAAAATTATTCAGGGATAAATAAGTTTAAAATGCTTATGGTAATGTGTACATGCACAACTTCTGAAATGTACACTTCAGCAGACAGTTGATAAATCAAAAAAAAATTTAGCCTATTTCTAGAAATAAGTGGCTTGTCACTGTTGATTGCAGAACTACTGTAAACTAATGGATGTTTGATGCAGCAAATCTCTTACCTTAAAACAACAACAAAACAGGTTCTTTATTATGTATGAAGAAACGGAGGCAATCAGGTTTGGTATTTTAGATGGTATTTAATAACATGCAGCAAAATTACATATCTATGTGACAACTATGCTTTAAGCATAGCAATCAAATAAATTTAATGTGGTATGTCTAGTGCACTAAAGCTTCTGAAATTACCATAAACAGAGGGGGGAAATTTTATCTGTGGTTTCAAGTAGGCACACAGTAGCTTATCTTGCTACTAATTGGATCAGTAACTGGACTGTAGCAATTTCTCTTACATACACAAACAGTATTTAGAAGACTACAATTTATTTCTATCCATTTAAAAATATGAACTCTGTGACCATGATCCTTCTGGCACATCGTCACATAAAATGAAAATGCACACTACCGTGTTTCCCCCGAAAATAAGACAGGGTCTTATATTAATTTTTGCTCCAAAAATGCATTAGGGCTCATTTTCAGGGGATTTTTTTTATGTACAACAATCTACATTTATTCAAATACAGTTATGTCATCTTCTTCTGATTGCTGCACAAGGGTGGAAGGCAGGGTTTCACTTAACTAGGGCTTATTTTTGGGGTAGATCTTATATTACAAGCATCCTGAAAGATCATACTAGGGCTTATTTTCAGGGAAACAGGGTATTAAAATTTATCTTTAATGCATGAATTTAAATTAGAAATGGACTGCAATTAAAAATGCACCTCTTTGCAATTTAGTATAGTCACATTTGGAAATGGTTGGCAGAAGGTACCCAAATATTTGATGCCGGCTAGAACAAATTGACTGTTTTCTCAGTTCTATTGTTAAAAGTCCTTTAAAAACTCTCTCAGTTCTCAGCAGACTTTTAGAACCCCTTCCTGGACTCCTTGCGCAACACTGTAAATATTATTTTTAAAATGGCATGTCTGAGGTCTCACTTTGAAAAGTTTTGCTGGATGCAATTAAAAATGTGGCAATAAAAATTTCCCAGTTTAGAGTAGGGTGTGGGGGAGAGATACCCTGTTTTTTCATTGGTTCTATTGATTCTGGGATTATGTTTAAAGGGAAGAATCCCAGTGTTTGGAATCTCTAGAACCTCTTGCAAAAGCCTTTCAAACCTTTCCCAACATTTTGGGCTTTCCTGCATGTCTACCACATATGGTAAAAAGAACCTTCTTTTTAATTACATCTCCAACAAAGGTTTGGAACTTTTACATCCACTTTGGCTAGTCTTGTGGGAGTTATATATACCATCTATAAAACATTTTAAGATATTTTCTCTAAATGCTACTGACTTAGTTTTATATTGTTTTTCCATATTTGTTCCCACTGATCCAAGCTTATATTATACCCAATATTCTGTGTCCACCTTATCATGCATTCCTTAATCACTACCTACTGGGTATCAAAATCTAATAAAAATTACATAAGACTTTAATATGCTTATCTTTGGTATCTAGGAAGATTCTATCAAAGGGAGTATTCTCCACATAAAAACCTTGTTGCTTATCTTTGCCATAACTTGAAATTAATTGAGAATGTGACCACCAGTCCATATCAAATTCCTGCGCTACTAATTCATCTTTGTTTTCCAATGTCCCATCTTTTAGTACTTCTCTATAGCTTTAGAGTTTCTTGTTTTCTCTCAGGTTTGGAGAAGTTTGTTTTTATAGCTACAGAACATATATAGTAAGATAAAGAAAAATAAGAATGAATAACAAATTACAAATACGTATTCAAATAAAAATAAAGGACCATCTATAAGGATGTAAAGTAACTTACTGATCAAGTTAAAACAATAAAATAAGATGATTAGGACAACCACTACGAAATGTAACAAGTTACTAACAAGCTTGTGTCACTTTTTATAAGTTCTCAGGAAAGAAGCTTCTAATTTTCAGAAACCATCCAAAGTCTGTGCCATTTATCTGTGCTTTTAGTATGGTTCTTCTTCAGTGTAATTATGTACATGGTTATGTTGTTTTGTTTTTAATATGTTGCATTTTGGTATTTTCAATAGCTATCTTACACAATGCTTCTGCAGGGGAGGGGGAAGGCCATTATTACTTTCCAAAATAAATAAGTACTGTAAAGGAAACTCCAGACACAGAGATTTAAGAAGTAAAAAGAAACAGCTCTTCTTATTTCATGAAAAGGAACAAAATAAATTGCTACAGTGGCACCCTCTCTAAGATATCTAAAGCAGGCAACACCTTATTTAAAAAAAAAATCCAGGAACTCAATAGCACCCCAGCCAGGTCCAAGAAAGTCAACACAGAACTTCAAACTACAAATGTAGGACTAGGCAGTATCTATCTTAGACTGCTTAAAAAAAACAATCAGCAAACTTTCATGGGTCAAGTCCACTTCCTCAGGCCATGCACCAATGTGTTGTGGAGAGTACAGAAAATTATAAATGAATGTCCCAACATCTGCTTCCCCCATATGTTACCTGGTGATTCTTTAAGGAGTTGGTGGGGTGATATCCCACCAACAGCTACCTAGGGTTAAGTTTGGAAACCACACCTCTAATGCAGCCTGTGGTTTTGTTTTGTTTTTTCTAACTCACCTCTAAGAAGCAAGTCTTGACACAAACATGTACTATGAGATTTTGGGACTTTCATATACTGTAGAATTTTTTGCACTCACCACAAGACATCGGTGGAAGGAATTAGACTTGTCTGCCAAAAGCTCACTGAATATTTGATTTTTAGTGGTGTGATAAAGGTATTGCCTACTCCTGCATTTGTATCCTATGACGACCACAGACTTTCTAGGTTTTTTTCCTTCAAATTGGCCTCCACTTGCCCTGTTGACAGGCACAGGAAGCTCCCTGCCTCCTGATGCAAAACAACCGCACACCAGCACAAAAACTCTCTCAGCAAGGAGCCAAACGCGATACATGAGTAGTTTAAGGAGAGAGAGCGAGAGAGACAGAGTAAGAGAGAGAGAGAACCAAAACATAGACCCATACTTTTCCTTCTTTCCACCACCACCACCACGCATAATTAGGCTCACGATTTTGGGTTTGTTTTTTTGTAATTCTGATGGAAGAATTAGAAAAGGAAAAAAAATAGCGGGACGGGGAAGGGGACTGAGCAGGACTCAGAAAAAAACTGAGCAGGACGACTCTTTACTTGGGCGAAGGACTGAGGAAAGCGGTTCGGTTTGGGTCTAGGCAGCGAGCGCGATTCAGACGCGCAGTTTCCTGGCCCCAAGAGTCAAAACGGCACACACATAAAAAGTTGGGGGGAAAGGTCGTTTTATACACACACCCCTTCCTTAAGTTGTGGAAAAAACAATCCGGCTGCTCCTCTTGTGTCCCCAAGCAACACTGTCCAACTTAATCCGGTGAGAACCTCTGTACACTCAGAAAGAGTGTGAGAAAATATAGCTGAAAGGTAAAAAGAACTTCCACGGTCATTACACGAAGGGGCCGCGCAAGTCCCCTGCTCACCTCACGACGGCCAGAAGTCCACACCGAATGCCAAGCGGAGTGCCGCCGTGTGGACACGCTGTCATTAAAGGCAATCGTGACCGACAACATGGAAACATCGTCGGAGCGCTAACCGCCCTCACGCCGAGTTCAACCGACAGCCCCGAAGGCACCTTTCACTTCCCTACAGAAACAAGCAAGAGAGAGGAAAAGAGAAGGGTGACCTCCGCTGATGTTGGGCCATGAAAGCAAGGGCCAGGAAAAGTCACCTTCTCGGTTCTCTTTCTCCACTTTCCTGTAAACAACCCAACCAGCAATGCGGGGTGAAGCCGTTCCCATTCCACCCAGGAGCTTCCCTCAACCGACGGGATCCCAACATGGCCGCGAATTCACCAGGGATCGAGGGAAAGTTTCCCTCGCGCCGCCTCCGCCGACCCTCAGGCCGGCTTCCCCGCCAGGCTTGGTCAGCCTCCCAGTTCTGGCTGACTTACCCGTTGCGCCCCGAGCCCTTCCGCGCCTCAGCCCGAGCGCTCTGCTTGGTCACAAGCCGAAGCGTGCCGTCCCGGGCTCCGTCTCTCGGTCCCTGCCTTGTTTGCGCTTACTCCTTGGGCTTCCTCCACCGCCGCTGCCAGTACCGCTGCCCCGCCCGCCTGCCGGCCCTCACAGTCTCCCCACCCGCGAGGAGGGCCAGCCCCGGCGACAGCTTCCCGCCCCACTCGATTTCCCAAGAGAGAACCAAGAGGAGGAGCCGGCGCCGGCGCCATCTTGGCGGAGGCGGTCCCCAAAACTGTGGGGTGGCTCAGGCGAGAGCTGGGGAAAGGCGTGTTTTCGTGCCTGCTTTCAGTGGCTGTCCTGCATGAGAGAAACATGGGTACTGTACTACTCAAAGTTGGCCTCATGTGGCTCCAAAGGGAACTTTGGCGCTGGCCTGGTGGTGTTCTCTGAGGCTACAGCTCTTGGGCAACTTTGAGTCCCGAGCTTTATGACGACTTATTCCAAACTTATCTCTGTTATACTGTACTATCGTTACTATTTTCTGTCACTGCTGAGAGAAGTTGGTGTCACTGTAACACTTTAAAGTTCTATAGGGCTGTTTGCTTACTATTGATGAATCTTGCAAACACAGTTTCACAAAATAAGGCTCTTATTTGTATTCATATAATAGACAACCTGAACAATAATAACAAACAGAATGCTACAATTTATGCACACAAGACCTCGGCAGTGGTACCAATACAGACGTATGTAGAATTTCCAAAGTCCAAGTTTCCTTTTGATTTCAGAGTCAGACAAAAATTCAAGATATCTTCCTCAACTGTGTTGGATAGCTGTAACACAGGAGGACCTTCAAAACCTAAAATAAAATATCAGTACAATTATATGCAATTCATTAATTCATTATGTAGATTCACCCCTGCAACATGAACAAAAATTATACCTAAACCAAGCTGGTCCAACAGGCAACAGCACCCCCCACTTCAGCTTACCCATTCTTTCTGAGATTCAAACCTCTTACAGCCCTTCTCTTTCTTAGTCCCACCCCTTTGAAGCATTATTTCATGGTGGTTACATCGTTCGTTCGTTTAGTCGTGTCCGACTCTTCGTGACCCCATGGACCAGAGCATGCCAGGCCCTCCTGTCTTCCACTGCCTCCTGGAGTTGGGTCAGATTCATGTTGGTTGCTTCGGTGACACTGTCCAACCATCTCATCCTCTGTCGTCCCCTTCTCCTCTTGCCTTCACACTTTCCCAACATTAAGGTCTTTTCCAGGGAGTCCTCTCTTCTCATGAGATGGCCAAAGTATTGGAGCCTCAGCTTCAGGATCTGTCCTTCCAGTGAGCACTCAGGGTTGATTTCCTTTAGAATTTATAGGTTTGTTCTCCTTGCAGTCCAGGGGACTCTCAAGAGTCTCCTCCAGCACCACAATTCAAAGACATAAATTCTTCGGCGGTCAGCTTTCTTTATGGTCCAGCTCTCACTTCCATACATTACTACAGGAAAAACCATAGCTTTGACTATTCGGACTTTTGTTGGCAAGGTGATATCTCTGCTTTTGAAGATGCTGTCAAGGTTTGTCATCGCTTTCCTCCCAAGAAGCAGGTGTCTTTTAATTTTGTGGCTGCTGTCTCCATCTGCAGTGATTATGGAGCCCAAGAAGGTAAAATCTGTCACTGCCTCCATATCTTCCCCTTCTGTTTCCCAGGATGTGATGGGGCCAGTGGCCATGATCTTAGTTTTTTTGATGTTGAGTTTAAGACCGTTTTTTTTTTGCACTCTCCTCTTTCACTCTAATTACACGTTCTTTAGTTCCTCCTCACTTTTTGCCATCAGAGTGTTATCATCTGTATATCGGAGGTTGTTGATATTTCTTCCGGCAATCTTAATTCCAGCTTGGAATTCCTCCAGTACAGCCTTCCACATGATGTATTCTGCATATAAATTAAATAAGCCGGGGGAGAATATACAGCCTTGTCGTACTCCTTTCTCAATTTTGAACCAATCAGTTGGTTACATCAGCTTCCTCATTTCTACATAAAGGTCACTCACATCTGCAGACACTAGTTTTCTAGATGTGTTTGACTGGCTCCTGACTAGAAATGGGCATGAACCACCAGTTCAGCTGTCAGTCCAACAAGTGTTCCCCAATTCTGAGTCCTGTTTCCTGTGGGCGACCAGTCAGAAGCAACACCCCAGCTTCCCTGCCTCGCTTCCTCCAGCTGCTGCTGCTGCCGCCTATGAGATGGGGCTCAGAACACCTGTTAGACTGACAGATGAACTGGCCCAAACCAAGAGTTCATGCCCATCCCTACTCCTGACTTTCAGGAAGGCTGCAAAATCTGTTTAGAAGGACTTGGTTGATGTATCCAGCTTGGTATTTGCGAAGTTCGGTAATGTGATTTTTAACACTCAAGTTTATCTGAAGTATAATCTTAATTAGTGGTGTTTAGATTATTTTATTAACTGCCTCTATTTCTGGACATCAATATGAACAGGCTTCTGGAAGTTCTCAACAGAGACCCTTTCATAGTTACAAACAGCAGATAAAGCTCAGTGGTTTAGGTATCTGGCTGCAGAGCCAGAGATGCTTGTCTTGAATGCAAAGAGAGAGACAAAGAAGGGAGAAAATCAAAACAAACTAAGGCGCATATATAGGCCAGCACTATGGCAATAAGAATGCATTTCAATTTTTCCCTTTCACATAGTAAATTGTTAACAGGCATCTTGTTGTGGATTAAAAATTATCTGGCTTTCTACCCTTCCTTAATCTTTGTTGCAAGGATTCCTCCCTCAAAATGGACATGCCGAAGGCAATATGCAAAACAAAAATAGTCAAAACATAATTAAAGAATAATAAATAACATTCACTGAAAATAAAATAGAAACTATTCTACACTTTGGGAAAATACAAAAATATTCCAACCAAAGAAGAGTCACACAAAAAACCTACATAGTTATGTAAAGGTAATGTTTGCCAGAAAAATAGATATTAAAACTTTTAAAAATGTATTAACTGCCCTACCAAAAGTACAGTGGTGCTTCGCTTGACGGCGTTAATCCGTTCCAGTGAAATCGCTGTAGAGCGAAATAAAAAAGCCAATTGAAATGCATTGAAAACCGTTCAGTGCATTCCAATAGGCGAAATACCTGCTCGTCCAGCGAAGATCCTCCATAGGGCGGCCATTTTCAGGTGCCTGTAAAGCGAAGAATCCATCCCTAACACAGCGGGTGGCCATTTTGAAACCCGACAATCAGCTGTTTTCTGATCATCGTACAGCAAAAAGCAGGGAACCGATTATCGTAAAGCAGTTTTTTCCAATTGAAACATCGTTTTGTGATTGCAAAAGCGATCACAAAAACCTAATCGTCAAGCGGATTCGTCATTTAACGAGGTAATCGTTAAGTGAGGCACCACTGTAAGACTAAACTTGCAGTCCTATAAATACCTGTGAAGTACCCATTGAATATAGTCATATTTACTTCTGAATAAATGTACAAAGCATAAAGTTAGGCTATAAATAAAATATATGTTAAATCTTTACACCCTGCTGGAAGATTAATTCCAGCCACTAAAGAAATCTGCAGTATTGTTTGATTGTGTTCATTTTTTTTTGTCACAAGAGGATATGCAATGACAACACATGACATCGCCCCTAAAATAAAAAGACCCAGTGAAATAGAGATAGGGGTGTAAATCTAACTTGAATGTGTGGATCAAGCCAAGTCGAAAGAAACGTAAGCTATTGAGAGCAGCAGAAATCAGATGTCCCAAAATCACAAAACACAGGTGCTGCAGTCCACCCAACCCCAAGTAGTCATATCTTACCTGTTAATATTACATTGGTTGTGAGAAACCAAATAAGAGATGAGGAATGTATAGGCCAGAATCGTGAATAGCGCTGGTGATGCAAGTCAAACTGAAGTGAAATTGGCAGTGAATTGTGCGTGCATCTGAGAACACAATCAGCACCTTGTTTTTGATTGCCAATTTGCTGTCAAAATTTATGCGATTCTCTTAATCCAAGTGTAAATCATTGGCCATTGTTACATATGCGAAAATCTTCTCTTAGCCAGGCAATCGCCAGTTACATAAAAATGGGATTTATATCACAACCATGGTGCTGGGGTAATTAGCCCTTCTTCCCTCTGGAGTTGCTCCAAATACTGTAAGTTGTGGAGGTAATAAGGGCATGTCCAATTACTGTACCTGTTGTTTCCCTTCCATAAGTAATAGCCACTGGCTGGGGGCATTACGTTGAGGAAATGGCACAGAGGACATTTTAAAACGCCCCCCTAGCATCATATCCCCAATTCAGTCCATTCTTTGTTTCTAGCTTTTTTTGTTGCTATCTGTCATTTGCAGATAAGGCAACATGCAAGTGCCTTCTTACATAGTTCTTGGTTTATTTCTCTGGCTTGTCATAGTGCTAGAATAAGACATCACAATAAATAAAACAGACCATAGTTTGTTAAGTCCTTCTAACTTGTAGCAGAAAGGATCAGGTAACATGCTCAGAGTTTTGATGAAACAGTACGAATAACAATATATATGTAACATGTTACTTTGGGGGATATCAAAGGCACAGTGATACTGCAACTGGTGACAGGATTACTTTTTAATGTGCCTGGAAGAGAGGAAGAGGGAGAGAGGTGGCGTATTCGGGTGAGGGCGAGGAGGACATGGTATAGAGGTGCAGTTGGGAGAGCTTGACCCCTTAGAATGGACTGTTTATGTGTATTCATGGGGAAAAGGTCCTTAGAGGAAGGTGTTCTGTCCAGAACCAATTCCACCGACTCCAACAACTCAAGAGGGAAATTGGGCCCATCACCCCTGTTGTGGGACCATCTGTGTGGTGAGGAGCAGCCCCTTGAGAAAACCGACCAACAAAGAGAAGTTTGGAGCCTTCCTGCATTAAGGGACAAGAAATTGAATTATGGACTCTCACTATCTTCGAAGGAATTTCTGTTAGAGGCCGGTTCCATTGGATCTACTGAAGTTATCCTTGATTCTCTCACTAACTTTGTTAATAAAAGTTTGATTGATAAAAATACAATTCCAGTGGTTAATCCTGCCAAAACAGAGGAACTGCTTAGCTTTGTTATAGAACCCAATCACACCTATCATGCCAGCTGTAACTGTATTTTAACTTCCTTGGTCAAGAACTTCTTAACAGAATTCCTTGAAAATCTGTTTTTGTTTGGGAAGATGCACTTTGATGTGGATGGTTCAAATTTACCTTGTTTTTATGGTCATTGCAGATCAGTCATATTATTTGTCATCAATGAGTTTAGTTTCAACATATGAAGT